ACAAACTTTTGGGGGATTCCTTTGGTCTCACGACCGCGTATTTCCTTGCTTTTCGCATCTTGCACTGCAAGTTTCGCATGGCCCGAGTTGATCGCAACCTTCCTGTTTCTGAGTGTGCTGATGCTGTACCAATACTCAAACCAATTGGATGCATAAATCATCATCAGAGTTTTGGCAAGTCATTCAGTCTGCTGTCAACAATGGATCGGCTGGGCTACCGCGTGACTTAGGCAGCTTTCATTCTCGGCAAAGGTGGCAAGACTAAGGCAACAAAAAAGAACACGGGTACTGGCCATGGCATGGGAGAGTCCAAGCAACGTGTTGACATGTGTTGACGTCATTCCCGATTTGGAGGAGAAACTTGCAAGAGTTTCGCGTGCCGAGATTGAATTGTTTGAAAGAGACCTGGTAGGGCACTCAATTGATACAATGGATGAAGTGATGAAGTAAAAATAGAAGTGTTCAAATTCGTTCAACCTCTCGAAGCAGTGGGAGTGGAATCAGGTTCTTGAGATCCGCGGCACCAAGATCCAACGGAAAAGGGCAAAAAAGTGAGCAACGCAGCAACTTTATGAAGTAAAGTGGCCCTCATTGCTGTGAAGACCTTGTTGGTTTGGCAAAAGGTATTGCGAGGGCGTCATGGCGCAGCGAACTGGTCCGGTCAATGTTACCGAGGAGAGTTCAACTTGTCACTATCAAAGTGGCGTTCAGAGACTCTGCTTAGCAATGGTGCAGGAATATGACGATGATGACCTCACTATGTTGAATGTTCCACAAGAAGCTGTTGGTTTCGTGACAGGCGTGTTGCACACGAATGTTGCTAGTGTCTTAAGCAGACACTCTAAGCTCCTTCTCTACTTTCTTTGGGGCTCCTCATTTTTTCGTTGAGTTTTTGGGAAAAAGAATCTGATTTCGCTTCCCCCAATTTCAAGTCTTGTGCAGTGTGTTATTGGCGAAGGTGATCGTGATGACTCAGAACTAGAAAGCAATCTTCAAATGCAAGCTTCCACTGACACAACCACCCTTCCCTTTGCCTTCGGACGTGTGACGGGCTGAGAGCTAGAGAAAAAGCAACCGCGTTGTTTGCGGACCTTTGTGCATGTCTTGTGCATGTTTTGTGCATGTTGCATTACGTCAAATACGTTGCCTGTGACATGTGTGCTCACGTGCAGGCAGAGCAGGAAATTTCTTGAGGAGCATTGAAGAGGAGTGGAGCACGTCCTCCGACGTGCTTATGCTAGAAAGGCATGAGAAAGGCATACTAGCAGCTAGCAAATAGATGTGTGGAAGGGGGATGACTTGTGAGACTGGGTATCTCTATGTATTAAAAAGTAATTTTTACCTCTTGTTACAACGTTTCTTGACGGGCTTGCCAGCTGGCCAATGTTGTTGGTATCCATGATTTGGCTGAAGTCCTTGTTTATTTTGTGGCGTGCCTAGCGTACATCAATGGCCAGTTCACCTACTCAAGATCGAGGTACTCTGCCGTAGACATTGCAGTCTTGCAATGTCTTGCATATACTAAGGAATGCCGATTTAGGGAAAATATATGCTTGATATGTCCGCTGAATACGGGCTAGCAGAGGTTAGCAGTCTGGAGGAGGCTTTGCGATGGCTTTTCTCATCTTTTCTCGGTTTGGCCTTGCCAGGGCCTTGCCAGGTTGATGTTCTTCTGTGAAGTAGATGGTTCTCGTGGCCGCGGACGTGAGCACGAAAAGTTGGGAGCTTGGTTTGAGTACATCGATTACGGCGCTTACTGTAGTCACTGTAGTATTTGAGTGAAAAACGATGAAAAAAGAACTTGTTTGACCTTTTTTCGTATTTCTGCACAGAAATAGGCAAGGAACCAACAGAGACATACAAACAGAGACATACAAACAGAGACTAGAAAAGGGAGTCCTTATTCATCCTTATTCAAGGAGCTCCATGGAGGTTGATTGATGGATGTTTCCCTGGCCACTTTCTGGACACGGGTCAATTTCCTGGCGCCATGGGTAGTTACCGGGTAGCAGTCTTTCCTGTCCTATTCCAGAATAAGAGATGAAAAGGATTGAAAAGGGCACAAAAGGATACAAAAGGATCAAAGCAAAGGAAGCAGAGGTGATTTGGTGTGATGTTTCGTTTTGAATGTTTATGCTTTGCTCGAATGTCTCACACATGACACAGCACTCAAAACATTCTGGAATCTTTCACATCAGTAGTTCTACACTCTACACAAGCATTCGAACTTTCTTCAGCTAGCGCCCGCGTCAGGCTTGCCATCTTCGGAGATGTTCGCGGGCGCCGAGGTTCTGAACTGAAGGCACAGCAATATTCAGACTACATGCGACCCAAACTTACGGCTGTGCAGGCAGGCTGAGTCTTCATATTCTTCAAGCACATATTATACAGATATTTAGATTTGAGGAATCTAGTTCCAAAAGGATTACTGATGCACGCCCAGTTGTAGGGCACTCCATCTGAGCTGGCAACCGCTGGGCTTTGAATCATCAGCAAACATGCCCTGTGTGTGTATGTGTTTCAGGTGCACAGATTCGGAAACATCAAGGTTTTGCGATTCCTTGCCACCTTTCTGGACAGCAGGTGCTTTCTGCGGTGGAGACCAAAGTGCCAGGTTACTTGGAGAAGCCAGGCACTCAAATGACTCAAATGTATCCAGGTCAAAGATATTATTTGAACAACTTTGACAGGGTTTCGACTGGTCCCAAAAACACAGTGACGAGACTGAGCAGACAAGCGGCGGACACTTTGAATTTCCAAAAATCAGCCACTGTGGCCGCAACCCAGCAGCAAGCAGCGGCAAGTTTTTCCGATTGCAAATTCCAGCCCAAATGTGCGCTCCTTACAAAACTATACACACATAACCTTTTCTGCATGCCTTACTTCTTGGAACAAACATATGTTATATATTTCCTGCAACCCTGACCTTTGCCTGTATAACGCCAACACCGGATTAATAACCCCCCCCCACCAGGTAGGTAGGTAGGTACCTTCTGGCTAGTTTTCTTGACCACCCCTTCATAAACGGCCTCTGAACCATAAAATTTTGGATATGGCTTACGTCAATTGGCTGAAAGCTATGGGGGACATTGGGAATGAATAGGCAAATCCAAAGAAAAAACATTAGGGACATGGTGGTTGATTAATCAGGGGCAAACCCTGATTATTATTAATGGGGGACATGGGCTCATGGGGGGTACCCTTTGGGAGCTATCCAAACTGATGATTTTTATAAAGAATTTAATTAGAAATCGATCATTTGGGGAATAGTTGTTTTTTGAAATTTTCAATGATCAACTTAAACCTTAAGTATAACAATGATGAAAAAATGTAAAAAACAATTGGACATAAATAGAATTCGAAATATTTTTTTTGGAAAAAAATGGATTTCAGCACTGGTGGTTGATTAATCGGGGGTAGGCCAAACCGTTTATTAATCAGGGGGGACCACCTGTTTTAAATTAACATTTTTTTGGGGGGCAGTGGTGGTTGATTAATTGGGGGGGATTATTAATCCTCACTTGACATTATGATTCAAGGCACCAGTTGCATACTGCAGGATCTGTTGTTTTGGCCTCTACTTCTCTCGAAACAAAGCTGGTCGCAAAATCCGAAACCATGAACTTGAACCCAGAAATCCGCAGAAAAGCTTGAAGCTCGAATCCATCCCGATTAAACTCCGCTTCAGCAACTACGGCTCAGCAACTACGGCTCAGCAACTACGGCTCAGCAACTACGGCTCAGCAACCACGGCTCAGCAACCACGGCTCAGCAACCACGGCTCAGCAACCACGGCTCAGCAACCACGGCTCAGCAACCAAACTCGGTTCTCGCTTCAGCAACTACGCTTCAGCAACTACGCTTCAGCAACTACGCTTCAGCAACCAAAACTGACTTTCGCTTCAGCAACTACGGCTCAGCAACCAAAATCTACTCTCGCTTCAGCAACCAAACCTCAGCAACCAGAACCCACCCCTTCTGGCAAGTACATGCACAGTCTCATCTTACACATCATATCAAAATCCCACCCCCTCTGGCAAGTACATGCACAGTCTCATCTTCCACGTCATATCAAATCCCACCCCCTCTGGCAAGTACATGCACAGTCTCATCTTACACGTAATCTCAAAATCCCACCCCCTCTGGCAAGTACATGCACAGTCTCATCTTGCACATCAAATCAAAATCCCACCCCCTCTGGCAAGTACATGCACAGTCTCACCTTACACATCATATCAAAACCCCACCCCCTCTGGCAAGTACATGCACAGTCTCATCTTCCACGTCACATCAAAATCCCACCCTCTCTGGCCAGTACATGCACAGTCTCATCTTACACGTAATCTCAACATCCCACCCCCTCTGGCAAGTACATGCACATTCTCATCTTACACATCATATCAAAATCCCACCCCCTCTGGCAAGTACATGCACAGTCTCATCTTACACATCATATCAAAATCCCACCCCCTCTGGCAACTACATGCACAGTCTCATCTTCCACGTCATATCAAAATCCCACCCCCTCTGGCAAGTACATGCACAGTCTCATCTTACACGTCATATCAAAATCCCACCCCCTCTGGCAAGTACATGCGCAGTCACATCTTACATCACACGACCAAAATCCCACCCCCTCTGGCAAGCCAAGCACATACAAAGTCACATCTTACGGTTCGTATGAAAATCCCACCCCCTCTGGCAGGTACATGCACAGTCTCATCTTACACGTCATATCAAAATCCCACCCCCTCTGGCAAGTACATGCAAAGTCACATCTTACAGTTCGTATGAAAATCCCACCCCCTCTGGCAGGTACATGCACAGTCTCATCTTACACGTCGGATCAAAATCCGTCTCATCTTACACGTCATATCAAAATCCCACCCCCTCTGGCAAGTACATGCACAGTCTCATCTTACACGTCATATCAAAATCCCACCCCCTGTGGCAAGTACATGCACAGTCTCATCTTACACGTCATATCAAAATCCCACCCCTTCTGGCAAGTACATGCACAGTCTCATCTTACACGTCATATCAAAATCCCACCCCCTCTGGCAAGTACATGCACAGTCTCATCTTACACATCATATCAAAATCCCACCCCCTCTGGCAACTACATGCACAGTCTCATCTTCCACATCATATCAAATCCCACCCCCTCTGGCAAGTACATGCACAGTCTCATCTTACACGTCATATCAAAATCCCACCCCCTCTGGCAAGTACATGCACAGTCTCATCTTACATCCCTGAGGCAAGATGTCAGAACGACAAGCTGCAGCGAAGGATATGTTCGAAAACCCTTTGAAAACCGCACGTGAAAACAGATGACATGAGGCCGCACAGAGAAAAAGGCAGCTGCTCCAATCCACGCATCCGATGGTCGACGCGTCCTTCAGGATGCATGAATTACTACATTTGTTTTTGGAATCATAGTTGACGGAGCATAGTTTGCGGATCTTGGTTTACGAAGCATAGTTGACGGAGCATAGTTCTCGGATCTTGGTTTACGATCCATAGTTTACGAGCCATGGTTTACGAGTCAAGGCAGTCTTGGTTTACGAATCATGGTTTACGAGCCATGGTTTACGAGTCATGGTTTACGATCCATAGTTTACGAGCCATGGTTTACGAGCCATGGTTTACGATCCATCGTTTACGAGCCATGGTTTACCGAAGCAGAAGTCAACCCTCGAATCCCCCCCCACCCCCTACCCCCAAGTGAAAGACAACCAAAACCTGGTGTTTGTTTGTGTGCCTCATGATTTCTGCGCGCCCATGTTTAATCCATTCAGATTGACTGCAACATTGCCAACACACCATTGCAGCATGGCGAAGTCAGCATAGCGCATCCTTCAGATCTGAACCTGAGGATCAGGCACGAAGTCCTTGACAGGGACAAGGGGAAGGTGCAACGACAGTGGGGTGCAGTTTTGCTATGTTTTGCTTGTACAGTGGAATGCTAAAGTCGTGCCTCATTTTTTTTTTTTAATCATCGTAAATAGCTGGGGAGCAGTTGATTTCAAAAGTCGTGCCTTTTAAGTAAAACGCATAGGAATTGCAATGTTTTGTTGGATTTGGTCTTTGGAATAGTTTTTGTTAATAAATCTTGCGTTTAGATTGTGTTTAGCATCAAGGGTACCTTTTCCATATTGTTAATAAATCTTGCGTTTAGGTTGTGTTTAGCATCAAGAGTACCTTTTCCATATTGTTACAGTGGAATGCTAAAGTCGTGCCTAAAATTTGGAAATCATCGTAAATAGCTGGGGAGCACTTGATTTGAAAAGTCGTGCCTTTTTAGTAAAACGCATAGGAATTGCAATGTTTTGTTGGATTTGGTCTTTGGAATAGTTTTTGTTAATAAATCTTGCGTTTAGGTTGTGTTTAGCATCAAGGGTACCTTTTCCATATTGTTAATAAATCTTGCGTTTAGGTTGTGTTTAGCATCAAGAGTACCTTTTCCATATTGTTAATAAATCTTGCGTTTAGGTTGTGTTTAGCATCAAGAGTAGCCTTTTCCATACCAAGTCAAACTGGATGTGAGTGTAGCGATAAGTTGGCGTTTCTATCTTTTTCTTTCCAGTGTGCTGCGGCAGCCATTTTCACTTTTCACAGCGTGCTCAACGCGGCATTGTGGCACTTCAGCGTGTTGCTTGAGATGGAGGTGGGAAGGGTCATTGTTGTGTCTTCGTGTCGGTTTTAGTTTCTTATGTGGTTCCACAGGCGGGTGGGCAGAGAGCCTTTCTTGTTATTTTTTGACGTCGTTTGCGACGTCGTTCGGACGTCGTTCGGCACGTCGTGGTTTCAAAAACAGGAAACCTATAGGAGAGGTTGGTTGTTGTGAATCACGGATGGCAGAGCGAAGCCACTGATGGACCGAGAGCAGCAAAGCGAAAAGAGTCAGCAAAGCGAAAAAAGTCAGCGGACCGAAGCGGCAAGTATTTCTCAATTTCAGAAACATGAACGGTAGAATGCAACTGTAGACGGATTTTTGCGAACATTTGATTTTCCCAAGTGTGGAAACATTCTTCTTATACATACGCGATTCCATGGTGTTTTAAAATTTGGGCATGACTTAGGCATGAGTTTCTTGAAACAGCAATTCCATGGTGATTTACTAGCAAGTTTTGACCCAGGCATGAGTTAGGCATGAGTTTGTCGTTTGACTGTACATGGCACATCTGTAACTTAGAATGTGGTTTTGGAAACCGCCGCCCCACCAGAGAAGCCAAAACTCACGTTTTGGGCACCTTCTACTTTTGAAATAATCTTCCCACCACGCTATGTGCGAACGGTTTGACACTTAGAATGATGCAAAAACATCATCAAAAAATTCTGCACCGGTCAATTTTTTTAATTTACTGATATTTAGAAGGTTTTCAACACTTAGAATGTGGTTTCTTCATGTTTCTCCGGGAACAATAGGGGAAAAATAGGGAAATAATAGGGAACAATAGGGTAAAAATAGGGAAATAATAGGGAACAACGGGGAAATAATAGGAAAATCATAGGGAAATAATCTGGTTATATGCTTGTAACGCTGAAAGTGGTGATCCTTCACAGGTTTTGCCATCTTTCTGGTAAACCACCATACCATACCATACCATACCCTTATCCCAGGATCAGTAGTTACTATGAGTTTCCCCGTGTGTTTCCCTAGTTGTTCCCTATTATATATATCTTGCAAAGACAGTTGGAAGTTGGAACCACTTTTTTGGGGCCAAAAATGTTGCAATTCAATTTGTGTGTTTTTGCAGGCTTCATACATTTAGCATGACCGTCGAAAGGGTAGCAAGTGGATGAACAAAAAAGTGAGAATAATCTGGAAGGGTCATCATTTTTGGGTTTCGATAGTCGTTTTGTGGGAAAATGTCACCAAAAAACAGTGAAATCTAGAATTTTGGTGGGAAATCAAATTATGTGTATTTTTGCAGGTTTCAAACACATAGCATGACAGTCGAAACAGAGTCATTCTAAGTGTCTAAGTTTATCGTTTTGGAAACCTGGGAGGCATATGGGACAATAATAGGGTAAAATAAGTCAATTATATATAGGGAAATAATTGGGCAAAAATAGGGAACTAAGAGGGAAATAATAGGTAAATAATAGAAACAACAGGGAACAATAGGGAAAAATAGGGAAATAATAGGGAACAACTAGGGAAATAATAGGAAAATCATAGGGAAATAATCTGGTTATATGCTTGTAATGCTGAAAGTGGTGACCCTTCACAGGTTTTGCCATCTTTCTTGTATACCACCATACCATACCATACCCTTATCCCAGGATCAGTAGTTACTATTAGTTACTATAAGTTTCCCCGTGTATTTCCCTAGTTGTTCCCTATTGTATCTTGCAAAGACAGTTGGAACCACTTTTTTGGGGCTGCAAAAGTGTTGCAATTCAATTTGTGTGTTTTTGCAGGTTTCATACATTTAGCATGACCGTCGAAAGGGTAGCAAGTGGATGAACAAAAAAGTGAGAATAATCTGGAAGGGTCATCATTTTTGGGTTTCGATAGTCGTTTTTTTGGAAAATGTCATCAAAAAACAGTGAAATCTAGAATTTTGGTGGGAAATCAAATTATGTGTATTTTTCAAGGTTTCAAACATTTAGCATGACAGTCGAAACAGAGTCATTCTAAGTGTCTAAGTTTATCGTTTTGGAAACCTGGGAGGCATATGGGACAATAATAGGGTAAAATAAGGAGATTATATATATATATATACATAGGGAAATAATAGGGCAAAAAAAGGGAACTAAGAGGGAAATAATAGGTAAATAATAGAAACAATAGGGAACAATAGGGGAAAAATAGGGAAATAATGGGGAACAACTAGGGAAATAATAGGAAAATAATAGGGAAATAATCTGGTTATATGCTTGTAACGCTGAAAGTGGTAACCCTTCACAGGTTTTGCCATCTTTCTGGTAAACCACCATACCATACCATACCCTTATCCCAGGATCAGTAGTTACTACAAGTTTCCCCGTGTATTTCCCTAGTTGTTCCCTATTATATCTTGCAAAGGCAGTTGGAACCACTTTTTTGGGGCTGCAAAAGTGTTGCAATTCAATTTGTGCGTTTTTGCAGGTTTCATACATGTAGCATGACCGTCGAAAGGGTAGCAAGTGGATGAACAAAAAAGTTAGAATAATCTGGAAGGGTCATCATTTTTGGGTTTCGATAGTCGTTTTTTTGGGAAAATGTCATCAAAAAACAGTGAAATCTAGAATTTTGGTGGGAAATCAAATTATGTGTATTTTTCAAGGTTTCAAACATTTAGCATGACAGTCGAAACAGAGTCATTCTAAGTGTCTAAGTTTATCGTTTTGGAAACCTGGGAGGCACTGGCCCCCTGATCCACACACACACAATTTGTGTCCAAACCCGGCACACTCTCTAGGGACCCATAAGACCATAGCCCCGCGACAGTGGTACACAGATGATGAGGATAAACCGCCGAAGAGTGAATGCACGGTATCATTGAAGACTCTGAGGTAGTACAACACAAAGTGCTGCTACTAGACAGGCATGTACAATAGCGACAGGAACAGCTGATGAAGTCCACTGAGGATGGTGGCGGTTTTTTATAAGGTGAACCTCCAACCCGTCTTCGGTACTTAGGATTGCCATCTTTCTGCAACCACACACACCCCACCACATGCATACCATACCATACCCTTATCCCAGGATCAGTAGTTACTATAAGTTTCCCCGTGTATTTCTCTAGTTGTTCCCTATTATATCTTGCAAAGACAGTTGGAACCACTTTTTTGGGGCTGCAAAAGTGTTGCAATTCAATTTGTGTGTTTTTGCAGGTTTCATACATTTAGCATGACCGTCGAAAGGGTAGCAAGTGGATGAACAAAAAAGTGAGAATAATCTGGAAGGGTCATCATTTTTGGGTTTCGATAGTCGTTTTTTGGGAAAATGTCACCAAAAAACAGTGAAATCTAGAATTTTGGTGGGAAATCAAATTATGTGTATTTTTCAAGGTTTCAAACATTTAGCATGACAGTCGAAACAGAGTCATTCTAAGTGTCTAAGTTTATCGTTTTGGAAACCTGGGAGGCATATGGGACGATAATAGGGTAAAATAAGGAACTTATATATATATATATATAGGGAAATAATAGGGCAAAAATAGGGAACTAAGAGGGAAATAATAGGTAAATAATAGAAACAACAGGGAACAATAGGGGAAAAATAGGGAAATAATAGGGAACAACTAGGGAAATAATAGGAAAATCATAGGGAAATAATCTGGTTATATGCTTGTAATGCTGAAAGTGGTGACCCTTCACAGGTTTTGCCATCTTTCTTGTAAACCACCATACCATACCATACCATACCCTTATCCCAGGATCAATAGTTACTATAAGTTTCCCCGTGTATTTCCCTAGTTGTTCCCTATTGTATCTTGCAAAAACAGTTGGAACCACTTTTTTGGGGCTGCAAAAGTGTTGCAATTCAATTTGTGTGGTTTTGCAGGTTTCATACATTTAGCATGACCGTCGAAAGGGTAGCAAGTGGATGAACAAAAAAGTGAGAATAATCTGGAAGGGTCATCATTTTTGGGTTTCGATAGTCGTTTTTTGGGAAAATGTCACCAAAAAACAGTGAAATCTAGAATTTTGGTGGGAAATCAAATTATGTGTATTTTTCAAGGTTTCAAACACTTAGCATGACAGTCGAAATAGAGTCATTCTAAGTGTCTACTATAAGTTTATCGTTTTGGAAACCTGGGAGGCATATGGGACAATGATAGGGTAAAATAAGGAAATTATATATAGGGAAATAATAAGGCAAAAATAGGGAACTAAGAGGGAAATAATAGGTAAATAATAGAAACAATAGGGAACAATAGGGGAAACATAGGGAAATAATAGGGAACAACTAGGGCAATATAGGAAAATAATAGGGAAATAATCTGGTTATATGCTTATAACGCTGAAAGTGGTGACCCTTCACAGGTTTTGCCATCTTTCTGGCAAACCACCATATCATACCATACCATACCCTTATCCCAGGATCAGTAGTTGCTATAAGTGTCCCCGTGTATTTCCCTAGTTGTTCCCTATTATATCTTGCAAAGACAGTTGGAACCACTTTTTTGGGGCCAAAAATGTTGCAATTCAATTTGTGTGTTTTTGCAGGCTTCATACATTTAGCATGACCGTCGAAAGGGTAGCAAGTGGATGAACAAAAAAGTGAGAATAATCTGGAAGGGTCATCATTTTTGGGTTTCGATAGTCGTTTTGTGGGAAAATGTCATCAAAAAGCAGTGAAATCTAGAATTTTAAATTATGTGTATTTTTGCAGGTTTCAAACACTTAGCATGCCCACGAAACCGAGTCATTCTAAGTGTCTAAGATTATCGTTTTGGAAACCTGGGGGTCATTCTAAGTTACAGATATGCCATATAATAAATCTTGCGTTTAGGTTGTGTTTAGCATCAAGAGTACCTTTTCCATATTGTTAATAAATCTTGCGTTTAGGTTGTGTTTAGCATCAAGAGTAACCTTTTCCATACCAAGTCAAACTGGATGTGAGTGTAGCGATGAGTTGGTGTTTCTATTTTTTCTTTCCAGTGTGCTGCGGCAGCCATTTTCACTTTTCACTGCGTGCTCAACGCGGCATTGTGGCACTTCAGCGTGTTGCTTGAGATGGAGGTGGGAAGGGTCATTGTTGTGTCTTCGTGTCGGTTTTAGTTTCTTATGTGGTTCCGCAGGCGGGTGGGCAGAGAGCCTTTCTTGTTATTTTTTGACGTCGTTTGCTACGTCGTTCGGACGTCGTTCGGCACGTCGTGGTTTCAAAAATAGGAAACCTATAGGAGAGGTTGGTTGTTGTGAATCACGGATGGCAGAGCGAAGCCACTGATGGACTGAGAGCAGCAAAGCGAAAAGAGTCAGCAAAGCGAAAAAAGTCAGCGGACCGAAGCGGCAAGTATTTCTCAACCCCAGAAACCTGAACGGTAGAATGCAACTGTAGACGGATTTTTGCGAACATTTGATTTTCCCAAGTGTGGAAACATTCTTCTTATACATACGCGATTCCATTGTGTTTTAAGATTTGGGCATGACTTAGGCATGAGTTTCTTGAAACAGCGATTCCATGGTGATTTACTAACAAGTTTTGACCCAGGCATGAGTTAGGCATGAGTTTGTCGTTTGACTGTATCAGTTAGATTTCGGATCGACAACATGCTTTGAAGATCTTTGAAACTGGGAGTGGCAAAAAAGGTTGGCAGGAACTGTGTCACAGGGCATGCAAACGGTGCAGGATGAGACTGGGACTTGGGGCACGGATTCAATGACCTTCAAGGCCACTTCTCAGCATCATACCTGTTGACAGACGCCTGGCAGGCCAGCATTTCTTTCCCCTACTCCTTTACTGTAACCGCAAAGAGCATTAAAAGCATCCGACTTCAAGGATGATGAGCTGTCCTATGCCTTGGGAAAGCAGGGTGGTACCCGCAAAAAGCGGAGAGCTCAGCACGAAGCAGCAAGAAACAACTATTTTGATCATGTTTGACTGTTTGATCAATTTTGATCCTCTGTCAATCTATGCTACTTTTGTTGAAAGATTTGGACAGCTCCGAGTGAAAACTTTACATTTGTGGCTCCAAAACTTGCCTCGAACGAGATCAAGTGTCAGGCTTGAGCGCTCTTCCCAGGCAGTTGTTCAGTCTGAGCCCCAAGGAAATTCTCTAGCAAGAACTGGAACATTTCCAAACCATTCGCAATCATTCGAAAGTCCTCCTTGGGACTTTATGGATCTTTCTGGTACTTTCGGACTGTTTTTGCATATTTCACTCGCCCCTTCCTGTGCGTCAGCTGCTTCTGCGTTCTCATTAGAAGCTAGAGTTGTATGCGTGCTATATGTCAGACGGTATACGGTATACGGTACAAGACACACATACTGCATATGACTGCAGAGGAGTATGGGGGACCAGGGCCCGGCAGTGGGTCAAAGCGAGTCAAGTGGCTGGGCTCAAGGTACGTCGGAAACCTAGCACTCTTTTCCGGCACTAAAAGCGAACGGCGGTCGGCGGCTCAGAAGTCTCAGTGAAGTCACACAGCACTCATAGTTACACAAGTGACAGATGTTGCTTTGTACCTTTTCGAGCATTCCATTTTTATTTTCAAGAACTGCCAGGCGTGCGAAAGAATACATGCGCTGGCTTTTTGACCAACTCGCTGGTCCTGTTTATGTGGAAGGCCTGACGAGAATCCGAGCTTGGTTTTTGCCATAGGCTTCATTCTCCCATTTCATTCATGTACTGTTTCCCTTCTAAAGGAATTCTGTGATTGCTTGGCTTTGTTGTGCATGTTGTGCCAGCATGCGACAACTGATATTGCTTTGTCATCCATTATTGACGAGGCTGGGAAGACCGGGATGATTGCACGGTGGTGGAGGCGGGTGTCATAAATGAGTCATAAGAAGGGCTGCCATGGGCTGCCTAGCTGCTGGTTCTTTTTTCTTGCAGGTGATTGTAGACCGACTGTTGTGCTTCCTGTTTGTTTCCTGTCTGCTTTTCGGGCTGATATAATATGGTGCAGCCCTGAACGATTGACTCGGAAGAAAACAAACACTACGAACAGCTTGACGAACACATTTTGATGCCCACGATGGAAGCGGAAGGTTCCCAGTGAGTGCATTGGATACATTACGGGAGCTCGCCGTGTGCCAATCTCAAACACCTACTAGCTGGTTGCGTTCTTTTAGAAGCCCTTGAAATCAGGAAGGAACAGACATCATGGAAGCTACCTGAAACAAGATTTCCCTTGAAAGAGGTCCTCAGGGTGAATGGGGTCCTGGGTGCGCGCGTGTAAAAAGCTTCAATTTGGAGCTCTTTACGCGCGCGTGCCCAGGACCCCTTTCACTCCGTGGACCCCTTTCAAAGGAAATTGTGTTCTGAGCAAAACCCTGCTTGATTATGCTTGATTAATCATTATATAATTACATAAATTATATACAAATTATGAATTAAATTGTAGGGACTTATACTACTTACATATAATGGGGATTATAATAATCCAATGGGAATCCTTATTAACCAACTAGTATAGTGGAATGACAGAGAGATTTTGAACACTGCTCACCTGTCTATGGAAGCTACCTGTGTTGTTGGGGGAATGCCAGCTGTTTTTCTTTTTTAGGGACACGATGTCCTACCGTAGCGGGGTCAAATCATAGGCATCAAGGTTTCAACTTGAAATAGCAGCAATTGTCGCTCTGATTATTCAAAGTAATGCTCATACTGGGTCATATTATATTGTTTCGGTTTGGTGGTGTACGCTGTGTACAATTTAATACATGTCCTCGAATACCATGGAACACCTTGGAACAGCATGGAACACTCGTCAGTGTTCCTGTCTGTGGCGCCCCAGGCCACTTTGGGTACTATGGAGGAGGAGTGGGGCCTGAAGCTGAATGCTGAATGCAATCTGAACTTTCTGGGGGTCATAATGGATCCACCAGAGATCTGGACGCACTTCCACATAGAATTATGGTCTCTTATTGTATTATAATATATATTATTATATTATACCAGTAGTACCGCACAAGGCAGTGGCGGAAGTTTCAAAAATAGGAAACCTATAGGAGAGGTTGGCTGTTGTGAATCAGGGATGGCAGAGCGAAGCCACTGATGGAACGAAAGGTGATTGATCTCTCTCACTATTTCTCTCTCTTTCTCTGACTATCTACCTACCTACCTACCTACCTACCTTATCTACCTATCTATCTATCTATCTATCTACCTAGCTATCTATCTATCTATCTCTCTCTCCTTTATCTGTCTAGCTGTCTACCTGTCTACCTGTCTATCTATCTATTTGTCTACCTGTCTATCTGTGGTGCAGTGTCATTGAGTGTAGTGTAGTGTAGTGTAGTGTAATGTAGTGTAGTGTAATTTAGTGTAGTGTAATTTAGTGTAGTGTAATTTAGTGTAGTGTAATTTAGTGTAGTGGGGTGTAGTGGAGTGTAGTGGAGTGTAGTGGAGTGTAGTTGTGTAGTTGTAGTTGTAGTTGTAGTTGTAGTTGTAGTGGAGTGTAGTGTAGCTTAATGTAGTGAAGTGCAGTGGAAGGTAGTGTAGTGTAGTGTAATGTAGTGTAGTGGAGTGTAGTGTAATGTAGTGAAGTGTAGTGTAATTTAGTGTGGTGGAGTGGAGTGCAGTGAAGTGTAGTGGAAGGTAGTGTAGTGTAGGGTAGTGTAATGTAGTGTAGTGGAGTGTAGTTGTGTAGTTGTAGTTGTAGTTGCAGTGGAGTGTAGTGTAATCTAGTGAAGTGTCGTGGAAGGTAGTGTAGTGTAGTGTAATGTAGTGTAGTGGAGTGTAGTGTAATTTAGTGTGGTGGAGTGTAGTGGAGTGTAGTGGAGCGTAGTGGAGCGTAGTGGAGTGTAGTGGAGTGTAGTGGAGTGTAGTGGAGTGTAGTGGAGTGTAGTTGTGTAGTTGTAGTGTAGTGGAGTGTAGTGTAGTGGAGTGTAGTGAAGTGTAGTGGAAGGTAGTGTAGTGTAGGGTAGTGTAATGTAGTGTAGTGTAGTGGAATGTAGTGTAGTGTAATGAGTGTAATGCAGTGTAGTGTAGTGTAATTTAGTGTAGTGGAGTGTAGTGGAGTGTAGTGTAGTGTAGTGGAGTGTAGTGTAATGTAGTGTAATGTAATTTAGTGTAGTGGAGTGTAGTTGTGTAGTTGTAGTTGTAGTTGTAGTGTAGTGGGGTGTAGTGTAGTGTAATGTGGTGAAGTGTAGTGGAAGGTTGTGTAGTGTAGTGTAATGTAGTGTAGTGGAGTGTAATGTAATGTAGTGTAATCTAGTGAAGCGAAGCGAAGCGAAGCGAAGCGAAGCGACACCTGAACCTCCAAAAGTGGCGCGAACATGTGGTGTTTTGTACATTTTGACTTCCAAATGTGCTTCGCGCCACAACGGCGTGCACTTTTTCGACTTCTCAACTTCCAAAAGTGGTCCGACGCTGAAGTGTTTTGTACATTTTGACTTCGAAATGTGCTTCGCGCCACAACGGCGTGCACTTTTTCGACATCTCAACTTCCAAAAGTGGTCCGAACGTGGCGTGTTTTGTACATTTTGACTTCGAAATGTTGTTCGCGCCACAACGGCGTGCACTTTTTCGACATCTCAACTTCCAAAAGTGGTCCGAGAATGGTGTGTTTTGTACATTTTGACTTGGAAATGTGCTTCGCGCCACAACGGCGTGCAATTTTTCATCTCTCCTCTGGCCAGCTGGCTCCGCACCGGCTGCTTTAGCGAGCCTACTTTTCGACCCTCCGGAGCCACAAATAATTGGAAAAACACAGTGAATCGCGATCTTTCTCTTCTACTCTTCTCTCTTCTGATCTTTCTCTTCTCTCTGCCTCTGCCCTGCTCTGCTTTTCATCTGTCCATATTGTCGGAAGTTTGACTTCTAAACTTCCTTCGATTATGATTCGTTATATTATATTTATTTCCTTAGATTATATTTTATCATGCTATATTACATTATGTTATATTATATCATTATATTATATTACACTATATAATGTTGACATCGTATTAAACCCACCCCCCCTCAAACATTAAGGGAACGTAAATAATTCGGAGGCCAAACAATGGCCTGGGGTCCCTGGAAAAATTTTCAGACCTATGTGGCGCCGAACAAATTGCCTAATTGAAAACGAATACATAAGTGGACTTTCTTTCCATTTTAGTATTCCCAAATGAATTGAAAGGGTTTAGCAAGGAAACTGACCATTTGAGCCATCTTGAAATTTCTCAAGTCCAAAACTTTGAGGAAAAGGTTGCCTCAAGGTTCCAGAAAGGGTTTGAGAAGGGTTTCCCCAGAAATCCAATGGGAGCGTATTTCAGAATACTTTATATTTAGGGGGACCCTCTCAATAAAGTATTTGGCTCATGGGGTTATGAGTTGAATATTTTTTTCTTAAGAAGGATTCAAGTAGGAAAAGAATTGAGAAATGAATTGGTCCACCAAAATTTAGACCCTTGAGATCCAAATACTTTATTTAGGGGGTGAAAACATTCATTATTATTTAGGTGTGAGGTGGCTTCAGGGCTACCTCTTTTGCGCGATTGATTTTGAGCATTTTTGAAAGGGTTTAGTAAGGAAACTGACCCTTCGTGCCTTCTTGATTTTTTTCAACTCGATAACTTTTAAGTCAAGATTTGGAGTTTGGAGTTTGGAGTTTACAGCTTCCAGCTCAAAGAGTCTTGAGGGCTTCAGAAAGAGTTTGAGAAAGGGTTGTCCAGCAAAAACAGCGAGAGCGTATTCCAAAATACTTTATGTGGGGACCCGCCTAAATAAAGTATTTGGTTCATGATGTAGTTGAGCATCTTAATTATTTTTTGAGGGTTCAAATAGGAAAGGAATTGAGAAACGAATTCATCCACCAAATATTTAGACTTTTTTTTAGGGGGATGCAAACGTTTATTATTATTTAGATGTTAGGTGGCTTCAGGGCTACCCCCTTTCCGCGATTGATTTTTTGATTTTTTTTCAAAGGGTTTAGTAAGGAAACTGTTCCCAGTACTACTTCGCACTACAGAGCTTGCACAAACTACTTCCCAGTACTACTTAGTAGTACAAAGCTTGCGCAAAGCACTTCCCAGTACTACTTCGTACTACGAAGCTTGCACAAAGTACTTCCCAGTACTACTTCGTACTACAAAGCTTGCACAGAGCACTTCCCAGTAGTACTTCGTACGATAGCATACGACAACATCACCTTGACGACGCGTCGACGCAGCCATTCCACTGCAAACTGCAAGCCTGGATCACCAAACACAATGGCACAGCGCGCTGAATCTGTCTGTCAGAAAACACCTCCGCGCAGCGCTGGCAAGGGGACCACGCGAGCGCCAAACCCATTTTTGGACGTTCAGAGCTCGTTTCGCGTGGCAGGCACAAGGGATTGTGCACCTTGTCAAAAGTGAGCAAAACGTGAGGTTTTGGCGTGGGACATTTGAAGACGATCTGCAAAGATGCATTTTCCGTGGCAGGGGCAGTACAAAAGACGTGTTCATGAGAGATGTTAGGAGGTCAGGGCGCTGATTTCCTGCGAGGGGTTGCATTTTGGAGCATCAGATCTGTAGGTTTGCTAAGATGATTTTGCGTGACAGGTGCAGCACTTCTTATGACCTGGCATCAAGTTTTCGTGGCAGGCGCAGTACTTTAGATAGGTGGAGTGGAAAAATTGCAAAACGCATTGGTACGAGGCTGTCAGCGCTGCACTTTACTTTCCATTTTCAAGGAAGTCTCGCAGAATTGCTTTGAAGAATTGCTTTGATTTTGATGTTGTCAAATGCAAAAGCTGAGGAAGTCTCGCTGAATTGCTGCGTTTTTTTTTTATGTTGTCAACTTTGAAAGACACATCATTCCTGACAGGTGACAATCCATCAGGTCGTTTCCGCTGTCCTGCCAAGACGCAGTCAAGTGAGGGAGAGATTCAAAGCCGATTCAAAGCCTCAACCACCTTATGGTCAGCCAGTTCTCTCTGCCATCCATGAATCACAGGCTCACCTCTCCTATAGGTTTCCTATCTTTGAAACTTCCGCCACCGGCTTGTGCGGTACTACTGGTAGTGGACGCGGGCTCTTCCCGACTTCCACTCGGGCCAAGACGTTCTGTTGCTTCAGCCTTCTGGAAGCTTCGAAAACCTAGCAATATTCACAACATACCTGACATTTTGACATATCAGGATGTAAAGTCTGTTTGTGAATTCCATTTTGGCGCTCAATTTTGACACTCTGAGGGACACTGATGTTCTTTATGAACAAGCAGGCGGGGAGCTCTCTTGCCATGTTGATGTCAGTCGCCAAATCCATCGGCAGAAAGGGCCAAAGACTTTTGCGGGTTTCCGGAGCCGCAAAGGCACACCTTTTTGCTTCACGTTGGAAAGCGCAAAAAAGTAGAAACACTTTTGGCCAAACCCAGCCAGACATTGGCCATGAAGTCTTCACAATTCCTCAGCCTCATCTTCGCAGCTTCACCTGGTACAGGAAATGTTTTGCTAAAGAGTGGTTCTTGAAGCAAACATTTGCAGACCCTACTGCAGAGAGTGCATGCAATCGCACACGGATTTCTCCTTTGCCTTCTCTTTACCTTCACCTACATGCACTCGTGACACAATCGCAACAGCCAAACTTTCTTGATGTCAAAATTTACGGCGTGTCATGTCAAACAGCATTTTTTTAATCGTATCATGGTCCTCTTTGCCTCTTCTTTCTTGTTGCAAGGCAAGGTGCGCATAGATCATGCACCCTTTTTTCCTTGCCCTCTCTCTGTCTCTCTCTGTCTCTCTCTCTCTATATGCAGATACAAATTGTTTGCATTTACGAGGTGTTTGCATCTTGATCCTCGCTTGTCTTTGACATAGCGATGCTATGCATTAAATCATCTACCACTTTTGATTTCTGATGCTTGGCTGCTTGGTTGTATGGTTGTGTGGCACATTTCTCAAGGTTGTCAAGTTCTGGACCAAACCCACAAATTGTCAATGCAATCAAGTGGTGCGTTGGGCTTTGTGGCACTTGACGTGCACCTGTGGGCTGGTAAACATCCGTGGCCGTTATACTTTTCCTGGATTGTTTTTGAGCATGAAGCATTGGCAAGGCATGCCGATGCTGGGTTAAATTTTAAATCGGGCAAAGAAATGCCCGCAGTCACACATGAACTTAAAAGTGCATTTGATGCTACGCTGCGCACGCGCGGGGAGGGATGGGGACTTGATGTCGGCTTTCATCGCAGATAAAAACGTTCGTGACACAGGTTTCAACAATGCTTGCAATGACTTGCGATGTGACGAAAAATTGGTGAAACGAAAAAATGCCGGGGTGTCTTGAATTGACAGCGCGTACATGGCAAACAACCTTTCAGATACGTGTGAGCATGCAAAACAGGGCCACAATCCGTTGATTTGCCGGGCATCCGATTTTGTCCAGGAGGATGCACGTCGTGGTGGCGGCAATCGCAGCGAAAAGCTTGCAATCTTTGGTCCAGATAGACCCCGTCGAGGTGCCGAGCTGAAGGCTGGGCAACAAAGCAGACAGACAAACAAACAGAAACAAACAATCTTGGAAACCCACATCAACCCACTAACAGTCAGCTTTCTCACGATCTGGCACTTAGTCCTGAGTGACATCAGATTTGCAAACTGTCCGGATCGTACAGCAATCATCTCAAAAAAACATACTAGACTCTACAATGGTGAGAGAACCAACCGAAAAGATCAAGGATGACAACCGTCAAGACTGATCGGGCCCTTTAGTGAAGATAACCTTGGCCTGTCGCAACTCGTGGATCCTCTGCTGAGTGGTCATTTCCTGGCCCCTTATATAACCTTGACTATCCTTGGTTAGTGGGTTGCGGGGGATACACCTCCCCAACGTGTGTATATATTATATTTAGTGGTATGTCAAATATATATATATATGATTGTATATGTATACGTATACATATATGTGTATGTATTGAAAATACATAACATACCTCTACTATATATATATAGTGTATATGTTCACGCCATATATATGCATTGCATGCATACATGCATACATGCATGCATGCATGCATACATAGATACATACATACATACATGCATGCATGCATGCATGCATGCATACATACATGCATACACAGTACACACAGAGAGAGAGATATATATATATATGTATATATATACAGAGTGAAATGTGCACATTCTGGTCCCTCATAGGCTTCAGCCATTTGCATGTGTGCCGACAACACTTTCCAGGTCCTTGCAAGGGGCTATAATACAGCCATGTCTTTGAGTAGACACTTTGGCTCGGTGAGCCCCAGGTGAAGTGGAAGCGTCGTTGCATGACATAGAAAGTGGCTGGTTGCAGTGTTTTCGGCATAACATAGCTGTGGGCAGCTTGGATCACCGATTGTTCCACCTTGGGTGGCAAAACAAGCGAAACGGCTTGGCCGCTATCCGGTTCACATTGGTAGCGGAGCTCCTGGAGCATCCAGCGACCTTCCTGCTGGTGTTGATTTCATTGAGGTTGAGGACACGATCTACAGCTTGACGTCTTCTTCCTCATGTTTGAAGCATCAGGTCGAGCCGATGCCCCGGGAGGCATTTCCAATCAACTGGCGACGTTAGTCCCAAGCTTTGACCCCAGCAAAGATGATCTGCAGGTGTATCAGCAGAAAAGTGCAACTTGTCCTGTCAGTGTGGCCTCGAAACCGGATCTCTGAGTTGGTGGCTATAGACTTGTCCTTATCCTCAATACAACAGGGTCTGCATTTGCGAAGCTTCAGCTCTTCAGCTGCGTCATGCCAAACTTGGAAACAATGAGGCTAAGTCAGTTCAGGAGTACCTTGGTGGACAGTGGGTGCAACCAACAGGCAGATGAGAGTCATGACTGATACCTTGATATACCTTGCAAGAGCTGATGTTCTGTGGTCAAAATTGAAGGCTCAGAAGCTTCAAACCGATAATTTACAGGCATACATCTGCGAGGGGCCCAGTCGTCAAGTGATGACAAGAAACGCATCATCCTGGATTTAGATTCGTCCCTGGAGGGAATTTTGACCATAGGGACAGTTCAAGAAGCAGTGAGTGAGACTGCCTGGAAGGTCGTTTTTCTATGAGATGACAGGTCCAGGGGAAAGGCAAAGCAAGCCCGAAGTGTATGGTTCATCAACTCTGGTTGTAGACGTTAGCTATGCACAACGTGAGCCTGAAGATATTCAACATGATGACTGGACCGAAGATGATGTCTTAGAGACTTTGCTTGCTGAAGGTGACGAATATGCAGTTTTCACCACCGATTTTAATATATATATATGTATATATATATGTATATATATATATATATGTATATATATATATGTATATATATATGTATATATATATATGCTGCTAGTGAAGTGTTGCAATCAGATGAGGATTTAGCTGCCGCTTTTTCCACGTACGCTGAAGCCCGACGTAAGCTCAGCGAAAAGCTTAGATCTCGTGGGTTCCGGCCACTGGGACATGCAAGGGGAAGAAGAGTCTCACTGTGGGACACGTGGTTGCTGGCGAACTGAGCGTACAAACAAGCCACAGGGTCCTGCCTCGATGTCTTCGTCCGCCGCAGTGACGTTGTCCATGGGTGGTCCTGCATCCGAGATGGATTCAAGCATACAAGAGGAGTTCATGATCCTTCCAGAAGTGCCAACATCAGCCACTCAGGACATTTTGTCTGAAGAGCCGATTTATCTACGGCCAGTTTTTTATGGAGCAGGCTCGTGCACGAACAAATCCACTGAGGTCCAAAAACATGAGAGTTTTGAGGGATAAAATTTGGAGGCCATACTGCGGTGGATATGACGGTAATTTTGGGGTGAAGACGCTCGCGAGCAGGATTGAACAGAAGTTGCGCCAGCAAGGCTCGCAGCGTGATAGTCCAGCCGATCTCTCCAAGCGCATTTTTGCGTTCAAGTCTCGTGAGCGGTTCCCGGGGTGAAATGAGTGTGCCAACCAGTTGTCCAACAGAGGCAGCCCAACCCAGTTCAACACAGCAGCAATTCCAACCGACGCGCGTCCGCCCACAGGGGCCTTGTTTTCCACACATGTCGCTTGGGGAATGCTGGGCACGGGAGCCACCAAGACTGTAATGTGCAGTAATCATGTCAAAGAATTTCTAGAGGGGCACCAACCTGAAATCAAACCTGATGCGAAGAGAAGTTCATGCGATATTGTTTTGCGGTTTGGGAATCAAGGAACGGTGAAGGCCTTGCATGCTTTGACAATTCCAGTTGGCGGTATGTGGTTGAAGATTGCGGTTGTGAAAGGGGCGACTCCTCTTTTGGTTTCCAGCTCGCTTCTCCGAGCTCTAGGTGAATTAGTCGACACTCAACACCATGAACTTGTCATTCCCATGTACCCAGCAAAGATCAAGACGCAACTGTTTCCCAAAGGTCTTTACTTTATAGACATGAACCAATTGATTGCCATTGCGCCTGTCCAGGAGAGCCCTGCTAGCGCTGCGGAGACCTATGCACCAATCCAACAGTTGGAAGACAATCAAAGATGCTATTGCTGCAATTATATAATCAAATGCTTGGAACCGGGGCTACCGGGGCTCCTTTGATATCAAAGCTGCTTTCCTCCAAGGACGTCCCCAACAAGACCGGATAATGGGATTAGAGCCAGTCCCCGAACTTGCAGAAGCCATGACTGAAACTTCAAGCGTCAGAAATCTGCAAGCTTGACAAATCAGCGTCTGGCTTGATTGATACCCCATACCTTTGGTTTCAAACCCTGTGTGATGAACTGCTGCAGCTAGGATTCAACCCAAGCCCATTTGATCCATGTCTAGACATACTCATGAACCCCGAGACTGGAAAGCTGTCCGGAGCCCTTGGCGTCCATGTGGACGATGGAATCCATGGATGTGACGTTCATCCACAAATCCAGAAACTGGAAACTGGAAGCAAAATATCCAGTCGGTTCAAAGAAATCCAGATCCTTCACGTTCACAGGAATAGACAGCAATTTCCAGATAACGGCATACAACTTTCCCACGCAAAATACGTCAACGGAGGTCACCGAACAAGAACGACACATGCTGAGAGGCCTGGTTGGCTCTCTTCAATACGCCGCCGTACACACACGCCCTGATCTTTCAAGTTCCCTATAGCCACCTGCAATCACGAACCAATGAAGCCACAGTTTCAACTTTGTTCACAGCAAATAAAGTCCTTCACAATGCCAAGAAACACCGTGACGTAAGTATCATAATTCAGCCAATTGCCACAAAAGATGTTAGATTCATAGCTTTCTCAAGCATCCAAAAGCAAGCCTGAATCTCATGCCGGAATGATCACCTTGGCAACCCAGAAAGATATTTCCCAACATAAAACTTGTGCAATCAGCCCAATGTCCTGGGGGACCAAAAAGATTCAGCGAATTGTCACAAGTACCTTGCCAGCAGAAACATCAGCATTGTCAACCTCACTAGACCAACCGACTTGGATTAGATTCTATTGGGCATGGTTGCTAGATCCCAACATCCCCTGGCAGAAACTTGCAAAGATCACAAACCTTCCACCTGCCATTTCCTTACCCATCTATAAAGCAAATGACCAAGACCTTGCTATCACCGACCGCAACGTCTTTATTACTTGACCACTCCAACTGCTATTCCCAACTGTCAAGAATTTAGAGCCCAACTGTTGGATCAGAGATATCCTTGCAGAAGGGATTCGACTGCACCGGGTACACTCCGGAGCCCAGTTGGCCGATGCTCTCACCAAAATGATGGAAGCCAACTTCCCCCGTGAAACTTTGAAACAATAACGCTACAGTCTCCATGACTCAGAAGAAGTGCTCAGAAATCATGCTTCGGCTCCAAACAGACTCCGCTGAAGGCGTCAAACGATCAGATGCGCACTACACCAGAAAAAAAAAATAGGGAATGTGAAATGTGCACATTCTGATCCGTCATAGACTTCAGCCATCTGCATGGGTGCCGGCAACCCTTTTATCCAGCCAGGTCCTTGCAATGGGTCATACAGACATGTCTTTGGGTAGACACTTTGGCCCCGTGAGCCCCAGGTGAAGTGTTGCATGCCATAGAAAGTGGCTGGTTGCATTGGTTTCTGCATAACATAGCTTTGTGTAGCTTGGATCATCGATTGTTCCAGGGTGGTGGTGCCAAAACAAGCGAGGCAGCTTGTGGGTGAGAGAGAGCACAGGGTGCTATTTGGAGAAAAGCCTGCTACCCTCCGCCGCAATGGTATGGTCCCCACCACTCCACCACCCCAAACCTCGCATTTGGGAGACGCCGCCTCCCTTTTGCACGCTATTTACAGAATTTGGGAGGCGCCTCCCATTTGTATGCTATTTGCAGCATTTGAGAGCCGCAACCTCGGCATTGGACCCTGTCTAGCTGTACATTTCCAACATGTCAGTCTAGCAAATACTACCCAAAATCTGTTCATGTACTGCCTATAGCGTACCTCATGCATGCTTCACCGCTCTTTTTAAAAACCTTCATGCTACATATTAGCTACCTGAAGTTAAATAGTAGATGATATGCTCAAAGCGTACCTATGCACAATGCATACCTGTAAATCCTATATACTATATGATTTATGTGCTTGGATGCAGTATGTACCTGCAAATACATATATATATATATACGGCTCCAGGGTCGTTTCGGGCGTTCTCAAAAACAGTGTTTCCAGACATTGTCTTCTAGACATGGTGTCTTGCGCTATAACTAGTGGGAACAGACAAACAACATACTTGAAGGAGTTTCTGGTAGATGTCCTGGTAGAGGAACTGGTCGGGTTCCTTTGGCGCCCCTCACCGGGCAACCCTATGACCAGTACATTCCCCCGACCTCCTTTGTTCACTTTCGCAGGGGAAGTGGCCGATGACCCGAAGTTGGTGGCGGCCCTGAAGGTCATTTTCTCGGAGCACTTGGATTCGAAGGGGGAGTGGAGATGGAATGTCTTCCGTCCTCGCCGCGCATGAGGGTTCCGCGGTTCCAGTCCAATACTGAATTCGGTCCCGGATACGCATCGTGCATTGCAGAGAAAATGGCAGCCGAGTGCAATGAGAAACACGTGTAGAAACGTACGCAAAAACGCACGCCCAAAAGGAACCTTTAACCATATACATATATATATATATAATTTACATATATACATATACATATATATAATATATCTGTGCATATATATATGAATATATATGTATATATATATGTGTATATATATATATACATATATATATATAAATATTTATACATATATATATGTATATATATATATATGTATATTGAATATACATCTATTTGCAAATAAATTTACATATATACACATATACATAAATATATTTACATACACACATACATACATACATACATGCATGCATACATACATACATACAGACATACATACATACATACATACATACATATTATATATATATATCACACATATGTAAATATACACATTTATACATTTATATATATATATACATTAAATATCTTATATATAAAGATCTTTTTAAATATACACACACATATATTCACATGTATATATAGACATTTATTTATATGCACACGCGTATATATATATACACACACATATATTTTTATACACACATACAGATATACACACATATATATATATATACATATGTAGATAGTGCATATGTATGTGCATAAACCACCTCAATATACCTACATGTAAATGCCCAATTAACATTACATACCTATGTGTAGTTGTTGTATGTACATTTTCATCACTACCTGTAATATACTCCTTACACCCTACGTATACTACTTACACATGTTTCATAGCGTACCTATATGTATACGACTCATTGCATAGCGTGCCCATATATTGTATACTATATACGTATGTATTCCCGGCAAACAACTTACTTAATACCCTCCATACACTCCTTTTGAACTGAAAGACTGGACATCAACCACTTAGAGCTGCACAAACACTACCCATATAGGACTGTTTTTGTTGGGAACCCCCTGAACCACAGGGGGGGAACATCTGCCGGGGGGTGTGGGGTGTGGTATGTATATATATATATATATTTCCATTTATACATTATATATGTATAAGAATGACGTGTATATATATATACTGATGTATATATATATATATATAGTATATTTATATTTATATGTATATTGTTTTTGTTTCAATGTGACAAACATAGCAATATCAATCGCAGTACTACAGAACGTAAAAATAACAATACCAGCAACAACAACAAACATATTGCAAGGATAACAACAACATGGACATGTACAGCCTAAAGCGGCCTGCAGTGGCCAGGGGTGACGGCTAGCAGATGATACACAATTCTTGCAATGTCTATGTGGAAGTCGTGGCAGGTCATGAGTGGAGTGGAGACAAAGTCCCCTGGATATTACACCAGAGGAGTCCGAGAAAAGGTATCAGATCGGAAAGGCTTTGACACAGCAGATGGCTCAGCGTTGCCCCAACCGTTCAAGGGGAGACCCGGGAGTGATTTTGACCGTGAAACTGCGCATGAACATGTTTGCTAGAGATCTGAGGCTTTCAAGGAGTATAGAGTAGCATAAGGATATATGCCACTCATGTCATCACTGATTGCACAATGAATAAGGTTCCATGTTTAGTGGGAGATGGTTGGAGTGTGAGGTTGACAGGTTGACCAAAAGAGGAGGTGGTTTGTCGATACATTTGCCCCATGCAAATCAGCAGTGATGCTGCAAACACTGATAAGCAGTGTTTGGTGCAATTTGCTTTGCAACAGGCTCAATTTATAATTCTATATATATATGTGTGTGTTTGCGTGTGTTGCCAAGAAGTGCTTGACAAGACGACTTCCACATGTAAGGATCGCATTGTTTTCCGTGACGATGAGCTGAGCTATGCCTTGGGCAAGGAGGCATATTTGTATGGCAAGTGATTTCAAGACTTCTTTCGGGTTTGTTCCGAAACAGTGCCCCTGTCGGGGCTTGAAATTCCCACTTCAAATTTTGACCCCGTCACAAGCTCGTCTCTCCCCTCGTCTCCACTTGCTTTTCCCTGTTTGCATCCACACTGAGATTCATCACAGACTATTGAATGTAGTCGATGTCGGTGTACCTGGTGATTGTTGCAGAAACTTCAAGACAGCTGTGACATGCTACTGGGCCTCCCACCTCTTCTCTGATCTTCGATCTTCTCTTCAGGGTGCAACTCGGAAGAAACTGGAGGTGGCATCAGGCCGAAGCTACTGAGCGTTTTCGCGGTGGGTAGCAACCGCTGGGGTTGGGTGAGTGTTGCTGACATGTTCTCCGGACATGCGCACAGAAGAGCCCAATTTGCCAACGATCTCCTTTGACTACACTGGTTTCTGCTTCTTTTCCAGCATTCAGGTCGTGAGGGATCATACAGGCTCATGCAAGTGGTATTCACGAGATGCTGTAAGCATTTCCTGAACAAGAAACATTTTTTGAAGGTTCTGCAAGAAAACCTGTATCATAGGACGTCTTATCCTTATATAGGCGAAAATACCGACGAGGAGACCCTAAACAAGTATAGACTATATAATTATAAAGTTTGCGTTCATACACTTCAGACTAACATTATCGAATCTCTGTTTTGGTGGATGTAATCACTTAACCTGCCAATCCCCTCCATAGCAAAAGGTGAAGCTTGCCAGCCTACCAATGGTATATGGAGCTTGATGATGCTTTATGATCTTTATGTGACATTAGCAAGGGCTGCAACTGAGCTGTCTACACAAAGTTCAGTGATCCACGAGCGTCCGGCTGGAATCTTGACGTTGGAAGTGTGGTGTAGCGGGTGTAGGTTGTAGTCTGTAGCAGGTGCCATCCTGCAGTATGTTGGCAATGTTGCTTTCATAGCTGGCACCAAGTAGGACAGCTTTTTCGTTGTTTGGGAATCATGTGAGGATGATTGAGGATCCGTAAGATCCATTGAACATAAAAGTGCTCTTCAGTCACCCATCGATTTCGGGAAGCATGCCTAATGCAAAGCCACTTTTTCGAGGAGCGAACACGGTGCAGAGAATTCATCCAGCAGCTCTGCCAAACATGTTGGCCCTGTTACCTGTCGCTGTTCTTTGTTGAGTTTTGTTGAACATTTTGTTGCAACTGTGCGATTGGAGAGTCGCACAGTTGTGCACCATGTGCCGCATTGCATCGCACTGCGCCGCATTAGACTTTCGCACTTCTCCTAGGTGGCTCCTGTCTCAGCGTCGAGGAACAGTCACCATATCGGATGTAGCGCATCGTTGGCGCCCCAAACTTTGCGGATCTTGAGTTCTTGTCAGGAATTGCAGAGAACACCGGAGAAAACACAGCTGTTTGCAAAGATTGAGCCTGACTCAGCACCAAAGTGTGGGAGAACGAAAGTATAGATGTGAGATGCTGGAACCAAAGGTGATGACTGCACGGAAGTGCATGTCCCCGAGAACTGCAAGGGCTGGGTGACCGGGACCGAAGCGGTGGCCACGAAGTACTGCTGTCGACTGTTGAATCTTCATCAATTTGGATATGCATGTTTTCCAACCATTCTCATTTAAACATTCGGCTGCTATAAAACCTTGTTTGTGTTTTTCACTCAGCCTCTGTGTGCCTGGTGCTTTTCTGCATTGTCTTGACTGTACCTTGTCTATCCCCGTGCCAATTTCCACTACAAACATGCTTGCCTTGAGGCCTATACAAAATGCTGTGGGAGCTGGATTTTGTAAGAAAAATGTACCTCAGACCCCTAACTTTTGTAGATAGACCATTTTACAAACTAGAAGATAGCATCAATTGACTTTTGTAGGGACATGTTGCTGAGACTTTTTGGGACATGTTAAAATCCCAGTGAACTTGTGTAGAGAAACCATTTTGGGGTTCATGAGGTCATGATACTTCATGATCGATTTTTGTAGGGAGGAAACCGCGCCAGCATTTGGCAGCCATTTTGTGCTTGCTCAACAATCTCCATTTTGATCCCCGTTTAGATTTCCTCTACGTTTTGAGGGCGCCGCTTTAGCGAGCTTACTTTTCGACCCTCCGGAGCCATAAATCATTGGAAAAACACAGAGTTTTTTGCGACTTCCCTACCTTTTCGCGCACCTGGATCTTCTTTCTTCTGACTCTTTCTCTTCTCTTCTCTGACTCTTCCCACCTCTGCTTTTACATCTGTCCATATTGTCGGAAGTTTGACTTCTAAACTTCCTTAGATCATATGAGTGGATATGATCCTATCATACTTTGATTTCTAGAAGATCTTGTCTCATCCTAGGTCCACATCATCTTGTTGGATCTAGGATTCATTTATCTCATCCAACCATATCCAGCTGGTCACTCCAGTCTCACCTGATCTTAGCAGTGTCATCATCGACTCACTCCAATTTCATCCCCCTAGTCCTGTCTACCATTGTTTGCCTACCTACTTCTGCTACTACACCAATCCGATCAACATCATATTATGTCCTGTATTAGCCATTCTCTATCCACATCTATACATTGATTTCTGTGTGTATATATATATACATACGGCAACGTCATTTAAAAATGTGGAGGGCGGGCCAGACCGCGAGGCCCCGGAGGTAGTATGAAATACCAGTTCTTATATTGAAATGTAGTTACCGTATGTTTAAATGAATTGGATTCTGTATGTTTAAATGGCCGGGCGGGCCAAGGAAAACCTTCCCGGAGGTAGTCTAAAATACCTGTTCGTATATTTAAGAGTCCGTATATTTAAATGTAGTTACCGTATATATCTACCTTCTGCACTCCTTGGCGGAGCCGCAGGAACCGGGGAAGCGAATTGCGGCGCATGGAGACCGAGTATGTTACTCAGTGCATCCCCAACGAGCTTGCATGACGGTATCCTATGATACTGTATCCTCCTGACTCGGCAAGTCACTGCTGCTATTGCTGCTGTCAAAAAGGGGACTTGGGGGCTTGAGCCAAATTGTAAGTACCATTGCCGCTTGGCCAATGAGGCAAGTCATGGCATTACAGCATTTTTCCACAACAGCATACGCTAATGGGGTCTTCAGCCCAGAATAGCCTGCAGTATGTTGGCAATGTTGCTTTCATAGCTGGCACCAAGCAGGACAGCTTTTTCGTTGTTTGGGAATCATGTGAGGATGATTGAGGATCCGTAAGATCCATTGAACATAAAAGTGCTCTTCAGTCACCCATCGATTTCGGGAAGCATGCCTAATGCAAAGCCACTTTTTCGAGGAGCGAACACGGTGCAGAGAATTCATCCAGCAGCTCTGCCAAACATGTTGGCCCTGTTACCTGTCGCTGTTCTTTGTTGAGTTTTGTTGAACATTTTGTTGCAACTGCGCGATTGGAGAGTCGCACAGTTGTGCACCATGTGCCGCATTGCATCGCACTGCGCCGCATTAGACTTTCGCACTTCTCCTAGGTGGCTCCTGTCTCAGCGTCGAGGAACAGTCACCATATCGGATGTAGCGCATCGTTGGCGCCCCAAACTTTGCGGATCTTGAGTTCTTGTCAGGAATTGCAGAGAACACCGGAGAAAACACAGCTGTTTGCAAAGATTGAGCCTGACTCAGCACCAAAGTGTGGGAGAACGAAAGTATAGATGTGAGATGCTGGAACCAAAGGTGATGACTGCACGGAAGTGCATGTCCCCGAGAACTGCAAGGGCTGGGTGACCGGGACCGAAGCGGTGGCCACGAAGTACTGCTGTCGACTGTTGAATCTTCATCAATTTGGATATGCATGTTTTCCAACCATTCTCATTTAAACATTCGGCTGCTATAAAACCTTGTTTGTGTTTTTCACTCAGCCTCTGTGTGCCTGGTGCTTTTCTGCATTGTCTTGACTGTACCTTGTCTATCCCCGTGCCAATTTCCACTACAAACATGCTTGCCTTGAGGCCTATACAAAATGCTGTGGGAGCTGGATTTTGTAAGAAAAATGTACCTCAGACCCCTAACTTTTGTAGATAGACCATTTTACAAACTAGAAGATAGCATCAATTGACTTTTGTAGGGACATGTTGCTGAGACTTTTTGGGACATGTTAAAATCCCAGTGAACTTGTGTAGAGAAACCATTTTGGGGTTCATGAGGTCATGATACTTCATGATCGATTTTTGTAGGGAGGAAACCGCGCCAGCATTTGGCAGCCATTTTGTGCTTGCTCAACAATCTCCATTTTGATCCCCGTTTAGATTTCCTCTACGTTTTGAGGGCGCCGCTTTAGCGAGCTTACTTTTCGACCCTCCGGAGCCATAAATCATTGGAAAAACACAGAGTTTTTTGCGACTTCCCTACCTTTTCGCGCACCTGGATCTTCTTTCTTCTGACTCTTTCTCTTCTCTTCTCTGACTCTTCCCACCTCTGCTTTTACATCTGTCCATATTGTCGGAAGTTTGACTTCTAAACTTCCTTAGATCATATGAGTGGATATGATCCTATCATACTTTGATTTCTAGAAGATCTTGTCTCATCCTAGGTCCACATCATCTTGTTGGATCTAGGATTCATTTATCTCATCCAACCATATCCAGCTGGTCACTCCAGTCTCACCTGATCTTAGCAGTGTCATCATCGACTCACTCCAATTTCATCCCCCTAGTCCTGTCTACCATTGTTTGCCTACCTACTTCTGCTACTACACCAATCCGATCAACATCATATTATGTCCTGTATTAGCCATTCTCTATCCACATCTATACATTGATTTCTGTGTGTATATATATATACATACGGCAACGTCATTTAAAAATGTGGAGGGCGGGCCAGACCGCGAGGCCCCGGAGGTAGTATGAAATACCAGTTCTTATATTGAAATGTAGTTACCGTATGTTTAAATGAATTGGATTCTGTATGTTTAAATGGCCGGGCGGGCCAAGGAAAACCTTCCCGGAGGTAGTCTAAAATACCTGTTCGTATATTTAAGAGTCCGTATATTTAAATGTAGTTACCGTATATATCTACCTTCTGCACTCCTTGGCGGAGCCGCAGGAACCGGGGAAGCGAATTGCGGCGCATGGAGACCGAGTATGTTACTCAGTGCATCCCCAACGAGCTTGCATGACGGTATCCTATGATACTGTATCCTCCTGACTCGGCAAGTCACTGCTGCTATTGCTGCTGTCAAAAAGGGGACTTGGGGGCTTGAGCCAAATTGTAAGTACCATTGCCGCTTGGCCAATGAGGCAAGTCATGGCATTACAGCATTTTTCCACAACAGCATACGCTAATGGGGTCTTCAGCCCAGAATAGCTCCGGTGTGCACTGGTGCAGGCGCCGGGTCAGGTTCAACGAGATTGCTGAGAAGGTTCCTTCTCCGGTGCAGAGCCAGGTCAGGTTCAACAGGGTTCAGAGAAGGTTCCGGAGAAGGCCAGGAAGCCTTGGTGCAAAGCCAAGTCAGGTTTAACGAGGTTCCGGAGAAGGTTCCGCAGAAGGTTCCGGAGAAGGTCGGGGAGGCTTTGGTGCAAAGCCAGGTCAGGTTCAACAGGGTTCCCGAGAAGGTTCCGGAGAAGGTCTGGGAGGCTTTGGTGCACAGCCAGGTCAGGTTCAACAAGGTTCCGGAGAAGGTTCCGGAGGTTCCGGAGAAGGTTCGGAGAAGGTTCCGGAGAAGGTCGGGGAGGCTTTGGTGCAGAGCCAGGTCAGGTTCAACAGGGTTCCGGAGAAGGTTCCGGAGAAGGTCTGGGAGGCTTTGATGCAGGGCCAGGTCAGGTTCAACACGGCTCCGGAGAAGGTAAGGTCTCGGAGGCTTTGGTGCAGAGCCAGGTGAGGTTCAACAGGGTTTTGGAGAAGGTTCAGGAGAAGGTCTCGAACAGCTTTTGGCGCAAGTTCAACAGAGTTCCGAAGAAGGTTCCGAAGAAGGTTCCGGAGAAGGTTCCGGAGAAGGTTTGGCAGGCACCAGGCAGGTCAGGTTCAACAGGGTTCCAGAGAAGGTTCCGGGGAAGGTCTGGCAGGCTTTGGTGCAGAGCCAGTTCAGATTGAACAGGGTTCTGGAGAAGGTTTTGGTGCAGAGCCAGTTCAGGTTGAACAGGGTTCCGGAGAAGGTTCCGGAGAAGGTCTGGGGGGCTTTGGTGCAGAGCCAGGTCAGGTCCAACAGGGTTCCGGAGAAGGTTCCGGAGAAGGTTCCGGAGAAGGTTCCAGGCAGGTTCAAGTTCCGAGAAGGTCTAGGAGGCTTTGGTGCAGACCCAGCTGAGGCATTTCCAGCGCTTGGTTTCGCAGCACGCTTCAGAACAAATTGTAAAAATAAAATGTTGCGGCTGTTGGGGATACCACCGAAGTGCAGCAAAATTCCTTTCCCAAGGATGTCTAAGTCTAAATCTAAGTCTAAGAAATAAATTCTTGAGCGTGTCAGACAGCCTCCCGACTCCCGACGGTAGATGATGTAAAGGTATCTGGTTCCACGCCGACGAAACTCCAAAAACACGAGCAGAGCAACTCGGGCCATGTCAGGAAGACATTCAATTCTTCACGCGCTTATTAGCAAACAGCGTATGCAGACAAACAATTTTTCACCCAATGCTGTTTGGTAGTCTTTGTCAGATGACTCCCTGGTGCCACCTAGATGATTCCAGCTTTTGAGGGCGCTCCCCTTCGTGTGCCCAGTTGTTCTTGGAGGCAGAGGTTCAAGCGTTGTCTTCCATCTCAAATGGAGTTTCCCTTTCCTGGGGAGTGTCAGTAGTCGTGATCAAACCCAAAGAGAGTTTCTTTTGTAATAATACTACTGCCTGCACGACGCCAATCATGCTGCATATTTGCTCATTAAGTTCACGGTCTTTCCTTGAGTTTGTGTTATGTGGTGTCACTACAAGTTTGATTGAAAAAAATATGAGAGCAAAAGCAGCACGGAGCTTCGGCTTTTGCACTCTTGAGTGCGTTTGCCAGTCTAGGAATACTTTCAGAAAGCGCACTTTTGCACAGATTCCAACCGACAAGTCCGATTTCTGAAGCTGATGGGTTTGAGGTAAGGGACATCCATGCAATTCCTCTTACAACTTCTTACAGAGGGTTCAAATATGTTCAAATGATGGCTTTCATTTTGTGAAGGTTGGGCAGGAAGTCTGAAGGTGAAGGCGGTTCGATTTATATATAGATTATCTATTTACATAGATATATTATGACATATTATAAGACACATACATACATATATATATATATTGCATAGGCAGGGTGAGCCCAGGGTGTTGTTTGGCTGAGGACATTTTTTCGCAGCATAATTGCATTCATTTTTGTGCTGGGGACTGAGCTCTGAGCTTGGAAAGCAAGGTCGAGCACCTACATGTTCATGGCCTTAGATGAACGTGGAGAGGCAAATTCGAAGTCACAACAAGCCGCAACGAGTCACAGTCACAACGAGTCAGTGAGTCACATCCAAAGTGCGACGTTCTTGGCAGAATTGGCAGACGCTACAGACGATGTTGCTGCGCATTCCAACGACATTCCGAATCACATTCGGAACACGTTACATCACGTTACCCTCATTCCAGTTCATTCGCCTTTTCGTCATTTTCTACATGCTGTGGCCTTTAGCGGTGGGGGCCATTGCGGTGTCAGGAGCGTTTGCTCATCTTCAGCGCAGACCCAGGATCCAAGTTGCAGCCTTGGTCATGGGCAGACACTTCAGTTTTCTGCTTTCTGCGTGTAGCCGCGTAGCCAGCCTCCAAGGATATTCCGAATATTCCAAGATATTCCAAGGTATTCCAAGGATCTTGGAGGATCTTGGAGGTTTTTCTTGCTTTATTTTCATTTATTTTCCTTCATTGTGGCCGTATGTTGGTGCAGTAAAAATGCTAAGGTTGGGAACCAAGGGCCGGATGCTGCTGCCTCGATCCGATTTTGGTGTGTTTTGGTTGGTGTCCAAACTTTAAAAAAA